TGGAAAATGTAGCATTTGTTCACAGAGACAGAAACAGTCCATGTAGAAGCTCAAAGAATCTAATCCTCCAGTCCACCAAGTGATGTTATTCTTTCAAAACAACCACAGAGTGATGTTTCATGTAAAAATAAAGTAAGTAATGGCAGCATTTATGATGACTACGACTTTTTCTCTCTAACTCTTACCAAATCACATTATTGCCGAACTCAAATGGGAAGTGACAGGTGTTTTATAGTGTGACAGAGCATGTCAGTTTCATTTTCACATGACACAAACTCCTATGGTTGAGAATCTCTTAGCTGTTAAACCTGACAAGTCATCTGAAAGATTTTGCCTTCTGAAACAAACAAACAAAAAAAGCCTGAGCCAGGCATACAAGATGCTTTAATCTGCCATATTGAGGTTATGGTTAGAAAAAAAGGTTGTGTTAGCTGAAAGACTTAAGAAAATGGTGAAAAAAACATCTCTATCATCTGTCTCTACTCTTTAGTAGTTAGATTTATATCTTTGGTCAAATATCCAGAAAACTTTTTCAGGACATATTAGTTACAGAAAATAAGTATTCAGGTATCAAGTTCAAAATTGTAAATGATTGACTAATACAATAAATGGCGTCATTGCACTGCATTACTTTTAGGTTAAATTGAAAGAGAATGACTATATTTTGACCAAATCTATATGCCATACATTTCTAAATACTGTTCCATGCTCCCAGTGGCATTGTTTGCTCTCAGCTTGTGATCTCATTTGTGTGCAAGCTCTCATATTTTTACTGTTGCAACCAGACAAGTCACACTGCGAGAGTAAAGAGAGTAAAGCTTTTTTTCCCCCAAATGTAGTCATGCAGTTAAACCAAGATGGATGGTAAAATAACGGCATCAGATAATGCAGAAAAAACAAGATTATTCAAGCTTAAAGTATGTGTTTGTATGTGTGTGTGTGTGTGTGTGCGCGCGAGCCGAGCGCGGTACAGTCGGCAGATAATTTGCAGAAGCTCCCTGCAAGCAGGAGCTTTGTAAACATGCTCACTGTATCCAAGCTACCACACAAAAACACATTTAACATCTATCCGACAATTCCACAGCACTAATCCACACAGATACCTTGAGACAGGAGAACGAAAACAGCAGAGAAGGAAAACTTCAGATTTTCTGTCGACTTTGCTGCATCGTGTTCAACTCTGTGACTGTATATTCAACATAGTTAGAATAAATAAGAGAAGAAAGGACGAACGCGACCACCATTGTGAGTGTGTGAGCGTGGGCTTTGGGGGGAGTTTGCTTTGGATGTGCGTGCCTCCACTGACCTCGAGTTTTTCAGCCTCAAGTAATACTTGTCACTGTCACCTTCAACGCAGACCCTATCTCTCTGTCCTCTCACTGTCAACCCCCCCCCCCCCCATCTCTGCTAGTCCACATTCAGGTAGCAGCTGCTTATAATAAAATGTTTCACTTCCCATTGTACATATATATATATATATACACAGCACGTGGTCACTCTGCTGGGATTTCCCTCGGTGCCAAAGCCAGCAGGAAATTAAGAGAAAATACGAGCTATAAAGTTAGTATACCATCATTTACACAGGTGATTTCATTTTTTTTCCCAATCTTGCTTCTGCCATTTAGCAAACAGCCATGTGCGATGGTAACAATAAACTCCAGGTTGTTCGATTATAATACAGTTTTTTAAATCTGCTTACTCTTGGTTTTACGAGACCAAAACACATTCGGGAATAAAGCAGGTCATTTTGTGAACCATATCCATAAACATGAAGTGTTTTGCACAAAATGGCCTCTGTTGCCGGTGGCCTGAGCATGAAAAACAGCTTGGCAGCGTGCCTAATGTTTGGCAGTTAATAATCTTGTAAGCTGTTATGACACCGTTGTCTCGTGACCCTCTTTAGCTGTAGATTCATGGCCATTTCTGTCACAGAGCTTTTAGGGAAATGACAAACTAGGAGGGAGTTCTAGTGAGCTACAAGCAAGCGCCAAAGTCCTGGATCATCTGTCAACTAATGAAGAAAGCAGTGGGAATGCAGGCGCCAAAATAGAGCAGCGCGCTGCTGGTGGCAAACAAGCTGAAGGGTAACAGGCAGATTGTAATACACAGGACAGCAGGGCTGTAATCACAGGTGAAAAATGCTGAAAATGCTGGGAAAAGTACTTAAAATCCGTAAAACACAGAGGAAAGCTCACTTAAGAAGGTAGTACTAAAATAGTAATTAGATGTACATTGGATGATTATATAGTTTCTGTAGAAAGTCAAAGATTTCCTGGCTGGCTCTGGACCAAAATCTTGTCTTTATCTGCCTCTTCATTAATCCTGTTAAAATTTTAAATGTTTTTTTTGTTTTTGTTTTTGTACATTCACATGTGCCACCACACACAAATATCTCCAGATCATTTGAGGGCCACGGCTCTTCTGCGAAAAAGGCGATGGTTGAAGGATGCATGGCTTTGCTACGGCGAGAAATGTTTGACATTTATTTATCCAGTAATCACTCAGTCGTTTATTGTATTGCATGCTGATTTATCAGGGTTACATCCAGATCCTTGATATTTACAGAAATGTCAGTCCTGTCAGGAACAAAACAACTCCAACCAGCTCACATCTTGTTCTGTACTCTGTCTAACACATAACCTTACTTTTGATTTACAAGTCCCAGATGTCGTCCCTTTATTGAACTTTTTCATGAATTAATTCAAAATTTGTTGAAGATTAAGTCAGCGTGGATGACCTCAATTCAAACAGAGAAGCTCAGACTTTTGACCTTTAGATGTATCAGTAGTTTATTCTCGTTGTTTTGCATGTTTGGAAAATCAGGGAATCAGGGAAAATGGGGATGCAAACTACTATTCATAACACTTACTTGGTACTCTGTTGATAGCCCGCAATGGCCTGAGGACCCGTACAGTACGGATGGCTGACAGACTGGCATTGTGCCCATCCAGGGAATACTCCATCACCCTGAAAAAAGAACATAATGTGGCCACAATGTGAGAAACCGAAGGTTATGAAATAGTAATCAGCACACATGCAACTACACAAGCAATGGATGTAATAAAGCAGCCATGTAATTACTGAGCATTTGGACATTCAATCATAGGTCCAAAAGTACTGTTTTGCCTTGGCAGTTAAATTGTGTTAAAAACATAAATAATAGAATGGTGTGTAGAGGCAGTCGTGGCTCCTACTTATGCTTAAAACGTTTATCAGTGGATATTGTGTTTTTTTAGGAATGGGGCTTAACCTTTCCCTTTAAAATCTAGTCTTGTACGCCTTTCCTTCTCCATTGTCCTAACTGAGGGCATGACTTTCCCATTTGACATTTTTGCAATAGTCGTATTTCTTTTAGAGTTGTTCACTTATTCTGTGCCGTAGGAGAAAAAGAGAAAAACATCAAGAACATTTCTACTTTTGATAGCATAGAAAGGATTGTATCATAATTGTTGTTTCAGCACTTTGTCATGTCTGAGCTTTAAGGAACTCTGACATATTTACTTCTCAAATGGTATTTGAGTGTGCCAGGACCAATTAATTTGTTCTATAGCATGCTCTAATTAAACAGTGGAATCACAATAATTTATTCCCACTATTTAGTCCAACATGATGTCAACATGATATATGTGAATGGGTCCTTGGATACAACACATCGCAACTAAAGGCTGAAAGGCTGAAATCACAACTGTTTGATTTCCAAAGTCAAATCAATAAGAGTTCAATTACAGACTTCAGCTGTGAGGTATTTATTTCTAGTGAATATCATGCTAACTGTGACACACCCAGAAAGACTTGGAAGTGGTGCGACTACAAACATCATAAATCACAAGATCATTAACACTACTTAGGAAGTACCAACCCCGCCATGACAATGACAAAGTCAAGCTGGTTCCACTTGTCACCGAGGTAACTATTTGCGCTAAATATTCCCAGGGCCACCATCTTGATGACCATCTCCACCGCGAAGAAAGCAAAGATGCAGTCGTCCAACACCTGATTGCACACAAAAAAAACCATCGTTAGATAGACGTTAATACGAAAAAGGCTGAATAACACTGACTAAATTAGATCGGTAGAGGGTCACACTGACCTGGAGGATGCGGCACCACTCTGACTGGCAGGTAACATCCTCGCAGGGCTGAAACATCCCCAGCGTCACACAGTTAAGCAGGATCACCAGCATGGACACGTGCTCAAACCATGTGCAAGGAGAAGTTAAGGACATTACGCATTTGATGTCATTATATATCATGAGCACCGGGCATGAAATATGTGAGAAAAACCTAGAGTCTACTGAACAGGTCTGCTGGAGGATGAAATGTTAGTCACTAACAAGGAGCACAGCCATAAGTAGAGGCCACACGTGGCTCTCTGCCAGCATTCATGGTATACGTCTGACCAGCTGAAGGACATTCATTTTAAATCATAGCAACATAAAAGTCTGTCTGAGCCTCTGTGCGTACAATAAACTGAGTTACAGTCATCACCACGTTTGAAACAGAAACCAGAAGGCTGAGGTCTGACACATCAACGTGACCTTTTCACGGTTTGGCTTCATCCATGTCTGCTGGACAGTGGCAGGAGGACAACATTCTCTAAAGGAGCTGTCGGAAAAGATCTGAGTCCTCCCAGTAACTATCCATCAGATAACTTTTGTATTTCAACATTTATTTTGTCAAGGAAAAACAGCTGGGTTACTTAAAAAGGAAGCGTTGTTTCCTATGTGGGATGAGTCCACAGACCTTATAAAAAATCCCTAATGACTAATCTTTCATGAATTTCCTTTTATTTTTTTAAACCTTCTTCCATCCTTTTTAGGTAAACGGTGAGATCTAGTTTGGCAAAGGATAAAGTTACAAAAAGTGCAGACAACATCCGTTTTCTTTTCTTCCTTTAATTCTCAGCTATTGAATTAGAGCAATATCAAGTGGGATCTCAGTAATTCAAACCCACACTGATGCTCCATTGCATAAACGTGAAACTTAGACTTTCCGTCTTTTATGTGGTTTGAGTAATATCAAATCATAAAAGAGCCTCTCAACTTAAAGAAAGAATTAAATGCAGTTGTGCTGCTATGGTGAAATAGGAGACAATCTTTGTATGACAGAACATGAATGTTATCAGTGTGTATTAGTCACAGTATAACTGATGACATGTTCATAATTTCTGCTAGACGTATGGAGAACATACATACACATCATCAAGTATGCATTACAGAGAGCATATCACAGAAATATCTGCAGCAGTATTAAAGAAGATGTATTATAATTACAAAGAAAGTTAAAACAAAAAATCAAAGGGAAAAAAGGTTCTGATGTTGTGTTTTTTTTCTTTATGGCTTTCATCGTAAATACTCACCTCACATATACAGCGAACCACACTGTGCAATGAGCTGTAGTGTTGATGTGGTCCCAAGGTGCTAGTCTAACTCGAAAAGTGAGCTGATGACAAAAACTAAAGGTAACCACTGCCTTTAAAGAAGTCAAATACCAAGACAGATACAGAGATATTTGTATTAAGAGTAAAGCCTGACTAAATTATTTTATTACTATTTGTATCAATTGCTGGGACTGATAAATTTCAGAAACTCCAACAAGATCCTTTCAAGTATACTTGAATCACTTTGTTTCATCTATGATTGGAAACATAGATTATTGGATTTTTTTCAGGCTGACATTAAAATGCATTGAAATGTGTCATGACAATGACAATCAAAGTAAAATCAACTTAAAATATTGCAGAAAAAGCTAAGGAAAAACTAATAAAGCTTTTACCAGGTAGTGACTTTTTGTATATAAAGACAGTATAGAAAACATATGCTATAAATATTAATGCAGACCATTTTCAGGAAGATTCCAATTGAAGGAGTGGGTTTTAGACGGATGGTGTTTCAGGCTGTGAGAATATTTCCTAAACAGAAAGGAAAATCAGTCACGCCCCTTTTAGGGACATTACTGGTAAAACATATTCCACTCAGCCATCTGTAGTTGACATCAATGATCAGAAACGTTCTAGCCAGGGCTTTGCCTGCTCCAAAACATCTCTGTTGCTCTAGTTTTTGCATCTAACAGTAGACTTCCTGAGTGCAGGCTGCCACTGATCACCTCTGCTTGATTAGTCAAACCTGACGAGTGTTGAACAGCCTTGAGCTATGCAGCACAGATTCATTGTTCTTAGGTAGGGAGGACATATTTCATCAACTGTGAAGACAGTTTTGAATATGTATTTTCATTGCAACTGTGTGTATCTAAGGCTGCAATGTCCAATTCTGCAAAAAGAACATTTCTCATATTAGTCATAGGAACGTGATGATTCATGCATTTGTTTTGTTTTTTTGTGATGGTTTTTATGATGCTGAGCCAAAATGGAATGTGTTATTTCTGGAAAATATGTCTATGCCTGTAACCTATGCTCCCAATGCAGCAGTATGTAGCACACAGATATCCAATCTAAGAAGTCATTCTGGTCTGGAGAGGGGAAATAAAGAGACATTTTATCTTATAACATATAAATGGAAACAGAATGTGAACTGTGTGGCATAGACGTTATTGAGATGGCCTGTTTTAGAAAGCAGGACCACAAGTGGCCTATCGAACTGCTCTCCCCTTTAACTACATGTCCATATCTATTATACGTTTGGTATACGGCCTGCCTAGAACTAATGTTAGATGATTATTTAACAGCTACATCAGTGTAAAACACAAATTACGGTTCCCCTGAAGGGAGCAACAATACAATATTGTCAATAAAACATTGTTGATGTACGTTGTGCCACTGCATTTATTACAACAAGAAAAATCACTTAGTCACATGGAAAATGCTTGGCGCTGCCTGCGTGTCGACATGCTTCACACACACACACGCATGCGAGGAGTGAGTCATGCGATGTAAGGACGATCTCTCCTCTACAGATAAAAGATTCAGTCATTTGCCGCAGAATTAAAAAGAGACTTAAAAAATCCCAAATTCCGCCTCTCCTGAGCCACTGTACCTTTATGTAATCTATTTCCTGTATTTACTCTAAAATCTCTGTAGTCAACACCTCGTGAGCATCCTTCTGTCTTCGGTTCCTCTTAAAAAAAACATGCACAAGCACATAGGAACACTGTTCAAAGTAAATCTTTTTGCACTGAATTTCAAAAAGAAAACAATATCCTTTTACTATATTTTTGGAGTTTCATTCAAATGAACGGTTAAGCCACCACTAACTGGATTAAACATGACCAGACACACAGTGCTCGTGGTCTGTCTTATAAAGGTCAGTTTATGCCCAAGCATCAGTTGAGCGTATCAAAGGAGGTCTGTGCTGTATCACACCAGTTGACAGTAGACGTGGAGAAATGCCCCTATGTATAAGTTCCTGAGCAATAGCTCAGATGAACCACTTAAAACTTAAAACAACAGTATACAGCGCCACACTTCTGCAGAGTCTGCGTGAAGTGCAGAAGTGCTGCCTTTGCCACAGATTTTAGATCATGATTCTTTCTTCTTAACTCTACATTCTCCCTAAAAGGACGTGGAGAAAAAGACAAAGGACCGGCACTTTCAGTTAGATACTTTGAAGATGATCAGTATAGGCTGAAGCCTCGCAATTTAATCACAGTCTCACACATCTCATGTGAGGCCACTTACTTTGCTAAGTGAGTCCGTTCTCGGTCGAAAAAATAAAAAGTCAGCTGAGCAAAACATGCACATTTATTTCATCACATTTCCTGCTGCTGAAGCTCCCATAGAGATGGCTGCTCAAATCTTCATAGATACAAAAAACCTGTGTCAGATTTCCCAATCCAAATGGGAGTGGGTTCTTCCAAAATTAGATTCTTCCTGAGTAGCCAAATTAATTCCAAAGGGTAATAAGTAGTGCATTCAGTCTTTTTGTAGAACCAGTCACTTTTCCCCCCCCAAACAATTCACAGATTCAGTTTGACCTGGCATGTAGAACGTTTCCTTGCCACAGCACCATCGCCATTCATTCGTCAAGGTAACACTGACCACGAGTGACTCAGCCTTTGTAGTAAAATCATCTTAAAAATGCAAGCCTCGCAAGGTAAACATGACACAAATATTACAATACAGTATTAAGCGTCTGTTAAATCCACCACATTCTGTCATGGCAAAGTCTCACACCTACAGCAACTGTGATAACACTTAGACACACGCACAAAGTGAATATTCACACACAGCCAAATTAATAGTGTGTATGTAAACACCCACACTCAAGGTTTGGTTCAAGGATTGCAGTTTTAATATCCATTCATTGCTTCATTTTTGGTTTAAAACAGCTCTCATAGACACATATTCAGACCCAAGTTACTCCACTCAACACTAACAGTCCTGAACAACAGTAAGTTTGGTAGAAAACTAAGCTAGCTAAGTTAAACAAGGCAATTAAAATCACCACGCAAATAATTGCATCAGTGCAAAATCTATTAGAGAAATGTATTTGCTAACATTAGCCTGCTATTAAAAAACAAATTAAAATAAAAAAATCAACATGCCGGACGGGAAGATTTAATCTTGACCTTGGCTGATGTAATGAGTGGAATTGCAGTGTTAAAAGGAAATGAGGGACAATCACTTAAAGCAAACCATTTCTTTTTTGTTAAAGTGCTCAAGTGGTCTCTTTGGTGCTATTTCACTGGTGCTAGATCAATTCTCCTACCTCCAAAAGCCGTTCATTAAAAATTATCGTGAAATGATGTCCATCACAACCCTTCACTCTGAAAATGTATGGTAAAAGGATAGCCAGTGTGGAGGAATGTCACCAAAAAGGGCCCCAAACCAGATGTTGGTGTTTGATGGGTTGTCAGATGGTGTTCGCCCAGCAATGCCCTTACACCAGTCATACGGAGATGCACACAGGGATAACCGCACAGGAGATTCTCAGCATGCACACAATGTACACGGTGTCAAACCCACTCCAGCTGAGCTGTCAGATCAGTGTCTAAGTATACGAAATCAGGCTGCACAGAGCACACACGGGGGCGGAGGGAAGATTCAATAAAAAGCGAAGATTCAATCAAGTACTACAGATAACGGGACGTCCAGCTGACTTCTATCACCAATTCACGCACACAAAAACTCAAACAATTAACCCCATTTTCTCCTTATATTTCACCTCTTTGTTTTTTTTTTTTTACACTCCTTTCTGCTTGCTTTTTCATTTCCTCGACCTTCTATTCTCAACATTGTCGTTTCCCTCCGGTTTGCCCCAAGCTCTCTCTTTGTCTATAAGAGTTCAAAAGGAGAAAAGTCTTACATGCAGCTCAGAAGCAGAACTTATCTTGATCTGCTTCATGGACGGTGCTTCGGATACGCAAAAGCGACACATTTAGGATTTCCTCTGGTTAGAAAGCTTCCCCTTATAGCAGTGCGTAGCAAAGATGTTTTTTCATTACCATAGATATACATGGGCATATTTCATTCCAACATAAAATAATCTGCCTCTATGCTATGATGATGAACTTGAATGACTGTGTTTTTCTTATTATTAGACTGCCCACACTTGCGTAGAGCTAATTTAGATTTTTTTTCTTATTAAATTGGACTTTGCCAGAGGTCACAAATCAAAATGCTGAGTGCTTCCAGGCGGAATCTTATTGGTAGTTGGTAGTTTTCTCAAGTTAGAGAGTTATGAGACTCTGCATCATGCCTGTGGATAAACTGCAAGCCGTCTCTTTGCAACCCTTGATCACCGACTTAAATGCAACCGAACCGCTGAGTTAAATGCAATTCAGTCAGTATTTAGGCCTCAGCTCAGTGACCAGTCACAGAGCTTAGCCTCCCATCGTTGATACGTCCACATATACAAAAATGACAGGAGAGAGGGTGGAGAAAGACTCCAGCTTGTTTTGTTTTTTTCTTTGGGGTTAAATGGAGCTCTGAACCTGTCACTGCTGAAATACTGAACAAGAACACAATATCTGCCTACGGTATGTGACAAAGCAGGACAGGCTGACATAGTTACAATCTATACAATCTATATATATATATATATATATATGTCTTTTTTTCTGAGCATGATTAGCCACTGGAGCAGATTCTTATAAATGTCACTCCTGTGTATGTCCATGCCTATAGAGAATACATGTCATTTCTCTAATGCACCATGCCCATTTCATTTCATTTTCTAATATGACATGCATTTTTGCTGATGTCAAAAGAAAATGTAATCTCCCCCTCAGTGCAGGGATATTAACCCCATACTACTTTTGTTAACAAGGTTAACTTTATTTTCTCCATTTCTCCCCACCAACACCTCTGACACCCCCCCCCATCCTTCTCTCCTTGAGTATCACCTTCAACCCTTCTCACCCTCTCTTCACACTCTGTGCCATAATCCACCCCCTATCTGCTCTCTTTGCTTTTAACCCCAGTTGGTCTCCATTTAAGCCTCTTCTTCCTATTCTACGTTTGTTTTCTTAGAAGCCCTTTAGAAGTCTATTTTCTTCTTATCACCCTTATTCTTATTTTTTTCATCCTTTTTCAGAGAAGAGCCATGCAGTCCCAATCCAACTTTAAAACCTGATCCAAACCTGACTGTAAGAGCATATAAATGACAACGGGTCTTGTGCTTATAGAGAGCAGTTTTCAAGTCAGATTGACCACCCAAATATATGCTAGCAGTAAGCCAGAGTGTGTCCATTACTTCATTAAAACATTTCATTCTTCACATGTATTTAGAATCAATTCACATCTGCATTATTTTTCTTTTTTCTCTGAGCTTCTTTTATTTAATGAAAAACACATTGGAAATAACCAATTATTCAAATGACGTTAGTGTTACCATAGGCCATAAAAAAGATCATAAAAAAACAAAGAAAAACTGATGACAATGTTCCAAGAGCAAGGGTATATGCCTTGAGGAAACATTCATGTCTAGGATTAAGGCTGTGCATTCATGTTAGACAAACAATTTAGCCAGGAAAATGCTCATTATATGAGGGAAAATATCAAACAGCTCAGTGATTCTAGTTAGAGTACCAAGAGGAAAAGCAAATGACGGAGTAAAAAAAATAATAAAACATTGGAAAAATATTGTTTTTGTCATTGAACCCCATTTCACCTCACTGCACATGTCACACACGGCACATCACTGAGAGGAGAGTCTGTCATGTTGTCTGCTTCTGCACCACAAATATCTAAATAGTCTCGTGAAAAGATATTTTTCTAGGAACTCGTGTTGTTCCAAATGCACAACAATGAACACGTGAGCAAAATAAGCATGTCAGGTCTGTACAGTGTGATTCAGGAAAATAATTTATTTAAAAAGCAAAACATAATTTTGCCATCCAAAACAGGAGTGACAACGGTGGTAAAGCAAGGACAGCAGAATACACAGGTGAATGAAAAAGAACAACTCAAAAATGTGGAAAAGATTTTTTTTTTTAAATCAATAATTTGTTATTTGTCTTAATATTTTTACATAATTTATTTCTAGGTATATCTTTAACTTTTAGATATGTATTCCCATTTTGCTGTGGAGGGATGAAGATAATAAACCACTCTAATCAACCAAATGTGTGTGTTCGTCTTTAAAGAGTAATTAATCACGTTTAGACAAATTAAACACCTTTTACTGACTCAGGGTTGAACATATCGCTGAGGGATTTATTTCTCCATTAACCAACCAGCAACTTTGAAAAGATCTGCAGTGTTCAGAGCTTTTCTAACCCTTGGCATTGCCTGACTGACACCACAAGCTGTTCGTCCTCCTTCCTTCATCACTCTACTCACTGTTAATGAGCTCTGCTCTCCTTTTTCCCTTTCTTTCTCTTTTTTTTTTTTTACTTTTCACGCACTATTGTTCATCTCCAAGCTCCGAACTGCAAATGTCAGCTCAAACTCTGCCTCCCCTCACATTTCTCTGCTAACTCTTGTGTTCTGTTTGCATCACATCCTGGTGATCTGCCCACTCTGTCAAAGTGCTAGTGGAGTGCTTCCAGCCTAGATTTCAAAGCTCTGCTTGATTGATTTGATTGTTCATTTATTTCACCATCTGCCGCAGAGAACATACATGCATAACTGTTATTTCAAACATAAAAAGATTCCCCTCCCGCTGTGATCGCTACTTTAAGGATTTTGCCAACAGTATGACTACTTGCAGAGCCGCATGTGTCTCGTGTGTCTGCTGCGTGAGCAGGTTTTGTGCTTGTGTGTGTGTGTGTATGTGTGTGTGTGTGTGTGTGTGAACTCCAGATTGGCTCATCATAGTCGACTCCCTAAAGACGGCCTGATTCAGAAACAGAAACTCATAAATCAGCCCGTCCCTGAACTCGCTCCTCTATCTCTCGTCTCCTTGTTCTTTCTTTTCATCTTTCCATCCCTGCATCCCTCCATCCCTCCTCCTCCTCCTCCTCCTCCTCCTCCGGCACCCCTGAGAGGAAGCTGAGGCTGCAGTGACGCAGTTACACCAGGATTCCCTCCGTCTTTCAGTTACTGTCTCCTCACCGACATTCTCCTGCTAATTTGGTGCTTTTTCATCTTCCATAATGATGACATTTTTTTCCCAAAGTAAAATTTTGTCTTGGAGACTTTATTGCAACTTGAGGCAATGATTACTCCAGAGAAGACTAATGGCAACGCATCCGGTCGGTCTATTATGACAATAGAGAGACAGAAAACTAGTAGTTTTGTTTTTTTGGTGCTGTAATGTGCAGTGAACTTCACAGAGCCTTTTTTTTTATACGACACAACTGAACAGAAGGCATCCCAAGGTGAATTCCATTCCTCAGTGTCCGCGATCAGTCCGTGTATACGTACGGTGTGTGTGTGTGTGTGTGTCTTGTGTGTGTCACAGTGGACTAAAGAGGTAAAAAGGGAGTGAAAAGACAGAGGGAGAACGAGCCATAAATAGACCAGCTGCATCTGGTGGGGCCTAGCCTTAAACCTGTACCGCAACACACACACACACACATACCCACACACACAGACACACACACACACACACAGAGCACTAATGTAAAAACACCTGAAGGCAGTCTATCCTTTACATGTATTTGACAACATTTCACACACCAACATCACACTGAAAAGCAGACCTCTTTTTTTTTAAAACTGACTTTCTTGATAAAAAATACATCTCAAGTCCATCTCAATACAAGTCCAATACTTGTAAATATACTAAATGAAAATAATACTTCGATTAAACCAAAGGGGTGGTGTTATGTTGCTGCAGTTACTTTTATGCATGTAGTCCATTAATACTGCATGACCACTCATGATCAAAGCATTTCAAAACTTTTACTGGAATAAAGTCATGACTGTTTTAAGTGTAATGCAATCTGAGGAAATGACCACAGTAGTTTCAGCTGTTTTTACAATCCAAATGGCAAAAGGCAAGGAATACAGTTATATAAAAAAGCACCCCTTGGAAAGGCACAGTCTCTCAGAGGTAAAGAGATCACCGTCAATGCTGCCTTTGATATATCAAAGAAGAGGCACTGAGAGGTGTTTTTCTGTATGAGAGAAACCTTGTTATAATGAGGCGGTACTTATGTTTACTGTAAAAGTCACTAAATTTGTCACCAGATGCCGTCTTAGAAAATATGGAGGTCCATAAACGTGTGTGGAAAGATATTGTAAACACTGCTTCAGTTCATTATGTTGAGATTAAATGTTTTCAAATCACATTGTGGTTTTTAATATGTTTGGTCAATTTTCTACATTGTAAGAGTTGATGAGGCAACCAAATAGGGAGAATGGCAGCGTTAACTTTGGGTGATAAAATATAAACTGCAATCTTTTTTGTTTAAACTGCAGGGTGTGCAGCCACTATCCAAAACTCAAGCCAATAAAAGCCAAAGATTATTTTATGTTTAGATGGACTAAGAACCTACAAAGTTTGACATGACTTTCTGTCTGTTTTAGGCCCCAAAAAATACTGTTTTTTTTATTTCCAAACAGCAACCTTTCCCCTGCCTCTTCCCACATATATCTATTTGTGTAATATATTTGAAATCTCAATCCCAATTTAGAAACAATGCTGACAGCCTCAAGGTTTATCATTTAGCCCTCCAGAGACTTGGCCACACTCATGTGCAGCAGCAGAAGTGAAACACTGTGAAACTATATTTACAGAGTGGGTACAGTTCAATGCCATTTCACTTTATACTTTCGAATGAGTGGATCTTGGAAAGAAAAACAGCAGCCTCTAAACTATAAGGCTAGGCGCTGTATATTTGCCACAGGCAAAAAAGTCTGGAGAGCCAGAAAGTAGTGAAAGACTTATTTAAATCGCTTAGAAATGACATCACCTGGTACATCCTCATGGTTTCCACATTCGAACCATGGAAAACTGCTAGACATAAACATTCTGACTGATCACAGTGATTAGGAGGGACACTCTACCCTGCTTTGCACTCTCTTTCAGTCTTTCTGACACAGTTTCAACAGGATTTTGGTTGCCTAGTAACCACCAGCAGTCCAAGGATTCCAGAGAACTGTCCGCAGAGAGGAAGAGAGACGACAGCTGAGGACAGGAAGGTGGAGTGTTTCGTGTCTTTTGTCTGCATTTTAGCCACTGTGTTTACATTTTTCTTTGATTGTCCTCGCCGGAGTTCCTCGTCTTTTCACAGCCTTTCCTCCATTCCTCTGCGCTCCCTCCTCCTCCTCCTCCTAAACCAGACTTAAACCAGTCTCACGCTCTAAATTGTCAAGGGAGAGGTGGAAAAAAAGATCACCTCCCTCTCATTTCCCTTCTCCTCTTGAATATTTTGCCTCTAAATGGCAGCTACACGACCAATACGTATAATGATGCAAAGGAAATCTCCTAACATGTGCAAGTTCAAATCTTTATCCCTGCATTAATCCACCTAAACTGTAATGTTTAATTATCAGATCATCAACACAATCATGTCAACACAGCCGAAGTACACATTTGTGCATAAAAAAGGCCTGAAAGATAATTAAATTACACAGTACTGAATAGTCACTCTGCCAGTTGACAAAAATACAGCAGTGTTTCACTGATCTGGTCAAGTGTTTGCTTGGGATCCTCATTGCTCTCCAGAGGACCATATAATGCTGACCCCACTGTATTGTTTTTACTGCTGTCCAGTGTTTTATAGATCAGGCCTGCAGAGTGCTTTTGCTGCATTGCTGGACAACAGTAACGGAGAGAATGAGAGACAGAATCAGTGGACAGGACAAAGCTATGGAGCACCTAATAGATATATTATGACAATCAAGCTACTTTAGTTAACAAGTAAACTTGAAGAAATATAGATATATAATGGAGTCCGCACAAATGAACAGAGAACGTAAGTAATGCACTTCTAAGATAACAAAAATATGTGCTCTCAGTGGATCCTGATTGAAGTGTGCTGTGAAAATCATAAAAATTATGTAAGAGATACGCAACTTGTTTAGACTTTCACATCGTAACTAAATGTGGAACATAATCAAACCAAGACTCAACTTCTTGCCCAAACTTTCCACAGTGGGTAAAATTAGTACTTTGGAACTCTAGATAGACATTAGGGGATCTGAATTTTATATCAACTTGTGAATATAGATCTTCAAATACCAGACGTAGTGACAATGTACCAAGTAAATTTGATTAGTGGCAACAACAAAAAATTTAGTAATTTAGTGTATTCAGACGGTAAAAATGAAACGGCTCACTGCCTTTATATCCGATATATGTAAAACTAATCAATGGCAGCAGTGATTCGAGCCTGTACACCAGAAGGCAGGAAGCTGCAGGATATTATGCAATCCCTGGTAAAAATTCTCTTAATGATACAATTATGACAACAGTCTCAATCAATTTTGAATATAGACACCCAGCTGAGCCATTACTTAGCAGAGAAAACAACAACCAGAAATTATAGATTTTCTTCTTTTTTAACGAGAGCATGAAAAAAATGGCAAGAAAACAGCAATGGCATAGAGCTCTGCACATCAAATGGCCAACACACACAGGTCCCATTACAGGAACCAAACCAAAAGGTCAAAGCCCATTGCTTGTATTCTCTCTACCACCAGATGGCCATATGCCCTGCCCTGCCTGGCAGCATATGGGCCTCTGGACACCAACCAATCCCTGACCACAGTGCAAACACAGATAAACATTAGCAGACTATACATGCATGATCTTCCATGTTAATGTAAATCTATAAGCATACACATTTTTTTTTCAGAAGCCCTTCTTAATATGCAGATCTACAACATACATATCAAGTCTTCAAAAAAAAAAGGGGGGGGGGGGGCTCAAAGCCATACCATATGCATCCCTTTATAAAGAACCAAAATCGACTGGTTTGAAATGTGTATGAATTGAAGAAAGTTTTGTTGTATCTGTGCGGGTTTTGATTCCTCTGTTAACATGAATGATATAGATTCCATACTAGCCTGGACCAGCATGTGTGTGTGGCCACACAGAGGAGGGTGCAGCCATGCGTGAAAAGTTAAATCTTGGCAGCTCTGCTTATGAGCTCACCTGATTCAGTATCACACAATAGCCTTTAATGACCATGCACATTCCCAGGTTGTTACAATATATAAAGCCGCCCCAAAGGTTTTCATCCCACCTCTATTCCGTGTGAGGTGAGGATAATCACTGTTTAACATAACACATAGAAAACTAATTAGTATTGGGTATATGTCTGGGATTTAGCCAGTGCTTTTATGCTTATTGACTGGAAAGACGGTCTTATGTCTTACACACATAATGGTCTGCAGGACGTCAGCTAATCTGTCTGACAAAAACACAATATGAATAT